GTTTTTTTAAGTTAGTTGTAATTTTGATGTGGTCATAGGATAAGGTGCGCTCAGTATTTACCTAGTCCACCATCTTAACCAGAAATTCAGTTTGTACTTTCCTTTGATGCAAGAGATATCTAAATATGTAGTTTGTTAGTTTCCAGGAAGAAGAGACCTTTTATTTTCTGATTTTAATTTCACAACTTACTGCACTGCAATCAAAAGATTTTATTTGTACTATCTCAATTTCTATCTTGGAGAGAGAAGTTTGGTCTGTCAAATGAAAGGTATATTAATGTCTACTGTTGGTATGGTTAATGTTTTTACTGCATCCCTTATAGTTTCTGCTTTATAAAAGTTGCTGTGGAGTTATTTGGAGCACAGATATTCAGAGCTATTGTTACTTTACTGTGAATTATTTATTTAAATTATTTTACCTGTTTGAAGTCTTTTTAAATTTAAATATCTCTTATTTTGGTAGTTCCTCATAGCCAGGAAAGTGTTGTGATGATAATGATTATCTTTATAAAATATTGCTGGTGCCCTTTTTCTTTAGAAGTTTTTATGTTGTGAGCAACAGTAAAATTAACAAGAAACTATTCTCTCTTCCTCCATTGGGCTCAGGTAACTTTCTAAGCTGTGGAGTTCAGGCAGCTTCCTCTGTCCCAGCAGCACTAGACAAAACATGGCATCCAGGTGTGAACAACTTCTCGAGCCCTCAGCATCTAGCCTGCCTCAGGCACCCTTGCCTTTTTTTAACTTCTCTTGGGTATGTACATAGGACTGGAATTCTTGGGTCATTTGGTAATGCTATGGGTTTTTAAATCTTTATTGTTGAGAATATTACAGATGACCTCCTTTTTGCCTCCCTTCACCTGGATCCCTCCCCACCCCAAGCCTTCACTACCCTGTTGTCTGTGTCCGTGGGTAATGCATGTATGCATATATGTTCTTTGGTTACTCTCTTCCCACCTCCGCTCCCTCCTTCCCTCTGAATGGCTCTGGTTCTATTTTATTCATCAGTTTATTTTGTTCAATTTGGCAGAATGGAGTATGTTCTTACCTTAGGTACAGCATATGCAGGTGCAATTGGAAAATCAATAGGTTCTACAGCTGCGTCAGCAAATGCTTCATAAAAAAATAAAAAGCTTTTAAAGTCTTTTTTATTTGCACTCAAAGGTCTAACAACTGTTATATATAGGTGTCCCCCCAAAAAATGTATACACATACTTAGAATAATTATAAAGGTAGTGTTTATTAAAATACATTTCATTTTCAAAATCGATCTATCAGCTTTTAAAGTGTGTATACATTTTTTGGGACACCCTGTATAATATGCAAAAATGCAAATTTCCTATCCCCTGAAATAAATGTAAATGTATTTGTTTCATTCTACACTTTATAAGCCATTGATTTTCACAAGTGGGGGGTTAGGGGAAATTTGCCTCCAGGGACATTGGTGTTAGAGATATTTTTAGTTGTCCTAATGGATACAATGCCACTTACTATAGTAACTAGTAGTAGAGGCCAAAAATCTGCTAAACATCCTACAATGCACAGAACAAACCCAAAAAAGAAAGAATTATTTATTGTAAAATATCAATAGTGCTGAGGTTAAGAAACTATGATCTAAACTAAGAATAAATTCAGTCACAAGGTTTTTAAAAAGTAACAAAATTTCTGTTTAACTCCTTATGAAGAAGGCAAGGCAGATTTTACAGCTGAAGATAGGCTTAAGTAAACTGAGGGTATGCCAAGCCCAGAAATAATAAATGGAAGAACATCTAGACTTCATATTTCTAGACTCTTCATCCCATATTCTTTTGATGTATATGGGATTTTATCTGGCTACTGTTCCCTACATGCCCGGGTAAAATAAAACATGCACCCTGTATTTTCCCACTCATTTTCTAGGAGAGGAAAATATTTTTAAAGCTTACTATTATATAAAGAAAATTATAATAATATTAAAGGAGCTTCTATCCCTGTTAAAATGTGTACTAGTTATATCCTGTCACAAAGCACAACCTATGTAGCTACAGATGGCTTCAATATTATGTATTACTGACAAGGAAACTCCGTTTCAGGAACGGCTTGCAGAGGTTTAGGAATAAACAAGTTCAGAACATTCTCTACCTGCTATTCTTGCCAGAGGTTTGACATTGAGTCTCTTGGCTGCATCTGCAGTCATCAGAATCACGGCGGCTGCTCCGTCATTCAGTGTGCTGGCGTTGGCAGCTGTGACTGTGCCTGAAGGCATCAATGAGCATGAAGTCAAAACATGCCTTCACACTGAATCCATTCGGTTCAATTAAACAAGTTCCTACCTAGTACTGCTTATGTTGCTAGATGCATGGAAAATTACAAATACAAATGGAGATAGCTCCTGCCCTTTTGAAACATATACATAACTATAAATTAATGTAAGAATGCTTTTTTTGTGTTAATTTTTTATAACAGTTTATTCAGAGCTAGCTCTGAAACACATGCATGATGGCACTGGGCAAATGCTGGTTTACTAATCACTTTCCTAGGATTTATCTATTAAAGGCATTAACTGTTAAGCAACTTTAAATATACTTTGGATAAATATTTGTTTTCTTAATTTCACTTGAGCCTGATGTATTGAAAATATTAAATAGTTCCTAGATGTTTTCTAGAATTACTTTTTTTAAATCCTTAGGCAATTCCAAGGCAAGATATAGTATTAATACTCCCATTTTTTCTTATGCTTCATTTCTTAATACTAACCGTTTTCTTTCTGGAAAACTGTCTTCAGCTTTGGAACTTTGCTAAAATCAACACGTTTATATTCTTCATCTTCTTTTACCACTACATCTGGTTTACCTAGAACAAACATCGTTTAAGTTATCACCAGTCAAGACAACAATTGGGTGCCTTGGTAGTCTGTGCCTTTCTTTGTATGCCAGCATACCTTAAACCATCGAGTAAATTCTATTGTACAACCTACCATCTGTAATCTGTTAGTGTCTTACAAGTTATTACGAAGCTTAAAGCACTTTAAATCTTCTATTCAGCCACATCCTGTTCTCTTGTCTCCCCACCTCCTTCTGTAATCACAGATCCCATTCTCCTGACCCTAGGGGTAGATGTCTGCCCTAGGCTGGATAAGCCCTTATAGTCCATAGTGCTGGGCACATTAATCATTCCTGGAATGGAAATGTAACCTAAGCCAGGGAAATGAACCTTTACTGTGGATTTATTCTGGAGTTGGTCAGGAGCTCTATTTGAGCTATGAATAAAGGTAGAAACTTAGGAAGCCTGAGCCAATTTTAATGAAATCTTATATTAAATTGGGTTGAACTGTCTGGAATGGCAACATTTCCCATAATTAAGCAGAAAGGTCAGTGTCCTCAGTTGAAATGAAAAAGATTAAAATGTACTAAATTTAGTCCTAGCCACTTTGGCCCAGTAATAGAGTGTCGGCCCATGTCAGCCCCCAGACTGAAGGGTGGCGCTTCCATTCTGGTTAAGAGCACATACCTTGGTTGCAGGTTTAATCTGGTTGGGCTCATGTGGGAGGCAACCAATCAATGTGTGTCTCTCATATCAATGTTTCTCTCTCTCTCTTTCTCCCCCACCCTTACAACCTCTCTAAAATCAATGGAAAAAATATCCTCAGGTGAGGATTAACAAAATTAAAAAAGTACTAAGACTTAAACATAAAAAATTTTGCAACATGTAAAGTCTACTAAAAATTAAAATGTATTTGGAACATTATCGCTCTACCTTTTACTGTAATTGTGACAGGAATCACTTCATTTCCAAACTTCCCAGCTTCCCATGCTGCTTTACTTCTGGTGTAGGAGTTAATAGCATAAGTATCCTGTTCATCTCGTGAAATATTCATCTTTTTTGCAGTGTTCTCAGCACAGTTACCCTGATAAAAGTTGGAATTTTTTAAAAAACTAATTAATGTTGCATACCTTAATAAAATATACATTATCTTTGCATAACATAAAAAAGCAATTAGTTTCTTAAAATATACTATTCTGTACTAGGTAACTTTTCACTCATGTCTCATCTTCAAATACTTGAATTAGCTCAGCTGTTGCTATTTTGAAGGCAAATAACTAAATAGTTACAGAATCCATTATGAGAAATCAGAAAATGCCCTACTCTGGTGTACAGCAATTTACTCAATAGTTGAGCCAAGCTGATGCAATGAGCATAGAAAAATATTTTCTTCAAATGAATGGCTAAAATAGACATTTATAGAGCCCATCCTTCAATTCAATTTCTAAATACATATAATTTAAGCCCAGCCATCGTGGCTCAGTGGTTGAGTGTCATGGTTCAATTCCCAGTAGGGGGCGTGCAGGAGGCAGCCAATCAATGATTCTCTCTCATCATTGATGTTTCTATCTCTCCCTTCCTCTCTGAAATAAAATATATATATATATAATTTTTTAAAGCAATAATTACCATATGAATTTTGTTGTAGACATCAGTTAGCCCATCTTTTACAATCAAATCTTCAAGCTTTACCCCACCGTATGGAGTTGCTCCTCTGTTCATCACGTAGGGAACATTGGACATACTCTCCATCCCACCTGCGACCATGACATCCTGATCAGCACACACACAAAAAACCAATGTCAATAGACATAAGTGCCAATCCATTATACCCTTTACACAACTACAATAAACAAGTAATTTACGTGGACTTTATAAAACATTTTTTACACAGTGATTACAAGAAGTACCCTCTTAACCCCGATGAAAGGAAATGGTCTACAATGTGTAATGATAATTAAGGTTAGAGTCAGGATCTGGTGGCAACAGAGTAGGTGGAAGTTATACTCATCTTCCAGAACTAAACTGCAATTGCAACTAAAATATAGAACAATCTGCCTGAATAACCAAGTGAAGACTAGCTGAACAGAAGCCTTGTAACGAAGGATTTACAGAAGCCACACCGATAATGGGAGAAAGGCCTGACCCCATTCTCACATGAGGCAGCTGAGAATCCTCGGGAATATATGTCAGTTGTAAAAGTCACCCCTGAGGAACATGGGGTCTCAAGCCCATGCCATGCTCAACCACCGAGAATCAAGAGTGAAGAAGCAGAGCCCACATAAATCTGGCTGTGAAAATCAACAGGGATCCTGTCAACAGGGAGAGACAGGTGTCAGCTAGAAATCCAGGTGCCCTGTTAAAGGGCCAGGGCACAAAATATTTTTCTCAGCCACACCTTCTGGGCTCCAGTGGAGGAGCAGCTCAAACTGAACTAGACCCATGTTTGGAAAAAATGAGTAGTGCGGCTCCGAGGGTACAGCTAAAGGGACAGTGACCAGGATCCCTGTATTGAGTCCCTCGTCCATAGGCACCATCTTTCTTGGGAAAATGATAAGACACTGAAGAAAGAAATTGAAGAAGACACAAGTAAATGGGAGCATTATACCATGTTTATGGATAGGAAAAATTAACATCATTCAAATGTCCATACTAATTTCTGGCGGTTTCAACCTCCCTACAACATGCCTCTCAGGCTAATTAAAGCAAACATTATTTTCTCACAGCTTTTAATCAGGAATAAGGAGAAACAAGTTATATAAACTAAATTCTTCACCTATTTTGAAATAGGAGATTTTATTTTCTAGGGATGATGGCAGTAAGAGACAGAAAATAAAGTATTAATCATTCTTCAATATAAAATAAAATTCATCATAAAGATGTAGTGCACATATACCATGAAATATTACTAGGCCATAAAAAAGAAATCTTACCATTTGCAACATGGGTAGATCTAGAGGGTCTTATGCTAAGTGAAGTAAGTCAGACAAATACAAATACCATATGATTTCATTTATATGTGGAATCTAAAGAACAAAATAAATGAACAAACAAAACAAAAATAGACAGAGATGCAGAGAACAAAATGATGATTGCCAGATGGGAAGGAATTTGGGGGCTAGGTGAAAAAGGTGACAGAAGTAAGGAGTTACGAGCTGGAAGTTACAGAACAGTGACAGGGATATAAAGTACAGCATAGGGAATATAATCAATAATTCTATATAATAAAAGGCTAATATGCAAATTGTCCCCTCGGGAGTTCCACCAACTGGAAGTTCAACCACTCACTGTGATGTGTGCTGACCACCAGAGGGCAGCGTGGAACGAAGGAAGGCCCTGATCAGCCCTGATAGCTGGCCAGGCCTACGGACCCTACCCATGCACAAATTTCGTGCACCGGGCCTCTAGTATTATAATAACTATGTATGGTGCCAGATGGGTACTAGATTTATTGTGGGGGATAACTGTAAATTATATAAATGTCTAACCATTATACATGCACCTGAAATAACTATAAAATAATATTACATGTACCTGAAATAACTATAAAATAAAATTGAATGTCAACTGTAATTGAAAAGAAAATAAACTTGATTATTTTCCAAAATCATAGATAATTGCTCAAAATAAGGCAATTCCTAATATTCCTATAAATCAGATCATTTTATACATGCATAAATTAGTTAAATAAACTGAAAGCATTTTAATGTAGTGCAAATAGCATTTGGTACAGAACCACAATAACTCAACTGAGATAAAACTCTTTTTCATTTTAAGTTTTGTAACATCTAAACATCTTATGACCATTTTTCATCCACTGGTTTCACAAGGGTTTGATAATAGGCAGTGTTAGTGTTAACTTATATGTAGGCAAACAAACTCTCACAACCTTTGGAAACTATAACTGGTTCAACTTCTATGGAAAGCATTTGAAAATACCAAAATTTTAACATCTTCTGATTCAAAAATTTTCCTCTTAGGAATTTTTCCAACAGACTTGCACATGATGATTTTTTAATGTTTTATTGACCAATCTCCAGTGAATGTCACATAGTAAGTGCTCAGCCAATGTGAGACAGAAGTAGAATTTGGAATTAATCCGGCTCTAGATTTTGTTTTTAACCACTACACTGTACTGCCTCAGTGGAGGTGATTCAAGTAGGTATAAGTAACAAAGATATATGTATAGCGATACTCACTGCTATACTTAAAATACTGAAGAACTACACTGGTTGGTGTGGCGCAGTTGGTTGGAGCTTAGTCCTATACACCAAAAGGTCGTGGGTTTGATTTCTGGTCAGAGCACATACCCACATTGCCAGTTTGATCCCCAGTTGGGTGCATACAGGAGGCAACCAATCAATGTTTCTCTCACATCGATGTTTCTCTCTCTCCCTCTCCTTTCCTCTCTCTCTAAAATCAATAAAAAAACATTAAATAAATAAAGTAAAATGGTGAAAAACTGGAAACTGCCTAAGTGTTCATTCAATAAGGACCCATAAAATAAATTGTTCAGTTCAATAGAATACTATCTTATGTGCTGATATAGAAAGAATCTCCAAGACATTAAGTGGGGCACAGAGTTTAAACAACTTGCCCAAAGTTCTCTGCTCTTAAGTGTCAGAAAACACAAGTGGTAAACAAGTCAGACACTCAGACAGGGGCAAGAACAAAAAAGACTTATTTTTCATTTTATACTTTTATATACCGCCAGGTTTTAGCATGTGCATATAAAACTTATAAAGTCTCTGATACAGTAGCTCAGATATCACTATATTTTTTCTCTTTGGCTTGCCATACAATTGGAAACAAAGCAAAGGAGGGATATCATCAAGGGTACACAGAATTGTGGCTCTTGTATACGTAAGAAACAATTTGCAAACATCTCAATTGATTTTATCCTGGTGTGTTATGCCCTAATCAGCTGGAATGCACCAAGCAGGGATAGAGACATCCATTTTCTATTTCCAACCCTCTAACTTTGTGTCTGTGGTCATCTCAACCTCACTTCCCTCAACTGAAAAAACCAGGGCTAGATCTAATGAAGTCTTATTTCTATGGGTTTAGGTCTAGTCGCCCCACACCACAACATATACTTCTATCTCTTGCTTGATCCCAGGTAAAGAGAAGATCTAAACCAGCAAGGCCAATAGAAAACCTGTACAATTTTTTGGGGGGAGGACCTCGATCAGAAGGACTTGGGCCCCCGAAAACCTATACAATTTAACAACTGAACCTGGGCACACAGGAACTACAAATCAGTCATCAATTCTTGGGTCAATCAACTACTTGATTCCCAGGGTCAGCACCTCTTCTCATGTATGATGAAACCCCTTCCTCTGGTAAATATAAAATTTATGATGTTTGAAATGACCAAGAATCTCAGAGAAAGACTCTGAAGACTAAAATATCTTGGCTGAGAACTACTTTTTAACACAAGACACTTGGGTATCATTTTGACCTCTATTTCCAAGGGAATTAGCACATTAGACATTCCTGAGTGTCTGAAACAACACAGCAACTATACTTAGGAGCACTTCTAAAGCACGGATGTGCTTAGATTTTTGGTGTCTTCTAGCGTTGTGTATTATTTTAATTATAACATAGAAAAGAAGGTCCTTCTTACCTGATGTCCGCACATAAGATTCTGAGAGGCCATCATGATGGCTTTCATTCCTGAGGCACAAACTTTGTTTATCGTGGTGCATGGAGTGGAAATAGGTAAGCCTAAAACCAATACAGACAAGTCATAATTCTGAAAAACAAAGATGCCCTTCAAACACAATTGTAGAACTAAAGTTAATAAAGTATGCACCATTACTTCTGCCAGTACCAGTCTATAAGTGTTCAATGATATTATGCACTTAACTTTTTATTTAAGCTGAAATGACCTCCATTTTGCCATGTCAAACATTTGACGTATGAAAGCCAAAATGTATTCATAGTACCTGCACCCAGCACTGCTTGCCGTGTAGGGGCCTGTCCTTCACCTCCTTGTATAACGTTACCCATGTATGCTTCTTTCACTTCTTCTTTTGGTATTCCTTTTTCAAAAAAAAACAAAAATGCATTTCCATATTTTATTCAATGTAATAACTGGTGGTTATCTAATAAGGTACCTGACATTATAAAGCAGGGATGGTTTCCTTTTCTTGTCAGTTTTTGAGTTTCATTCCTAACTCTATAGTACAAAAAGTTCTTTACGAGGGAATTCAGAAATATAGGCATTAAGTCATTTCTAAGTGTTACATATGTCCAAAATAAATATTTGTTCCAGTGACTCACTGCCCCTTAACACAAAGAGCAAAGCGACCACTCACCTGCCTTTTCAATGGCTCCCTGAATGGCAATGGAGCCCAGCTTAGTGGCTGGCAGGGAGGAAAGGCTGCTTAGAAAGGATCCAATGGGTGTTCTTGTAGCACTTGCTATGACCACTTCCTGGTAAGACAGGAGATGATAATAATTATTGTATTTAAATATCTTACCCAAATCATCTTTTATTAAGTACTAGTAAACATAATTCATAGACATTATTATCCAAGAAAGAGACTTTTCTGAGTTAATCATCAAAGATTAAAATAATATCAATATTTTTAAATAATGTTTTTTACTGATTTTAAGAGAGAGGGAATCATCGATGAGAGAGGAACATCATTGATTGGCTGCCTCCTGCACACACCAAACTGGGGATCGAGCCCACAACCCTGACCAGGAATTGAATCGGTGACCTCTTGGTTCCTGGGCTGACACTCAACTGCTGAGCTACACCGGCTGGGCAATAATCTCAATATTTAAACAGAATAAAACTAATCTGTTTAATGCTGGTACTTAATGATTTAAGAAATAATCGAAAATTTAAAACAAACCTACTTTAAAATAGGCATTGATCCTTCTCAGTTCTCCACAGGAGGTTTAAAACCAGAAGCTTAAGTTTCAATTCTACTCCTCAGTCAAACTTTAAGAAATGATAACTTTATCCTTGTTAACTGTATGATAACCCTAGCCCAGTGATGGCGAACCTTTTGAGCTCAGTATGTCAGCATTTTGAAAAACCCTAATTTAACTCTGGTGCCGTGTCATATAGAAATTTTTTGATATTTGCAACCATAGTAAAACAAAGACTTATATTTTTGATATTTTTTTATATATTTAAATGCCATTTAACAAAGAAAAATCAACCAAAAAACGAGTTCGTGTGTCACCTCTGACAGGCGTGTCATAGGTTCGTCATCACTGCCCTAACCAATGGGCTTCCTTACTGAAGGGAACTCTGGTCTAGGAATCAATCCCTGTATGCTAGACTAGATAGGGCCACACCACAACTGGGACACAGCCAGAGCCACAGTTTCTTAAATAATTACTAATAAGATAATATTAATATGAAATTTAAGAAAAAGTAGACAAGAGCTCTTAAATAATTATGAAACACTATTGTAACAATTCTCTCCTTACACTCGCCTTCCACATTCCCATTTCAAGTTAATAAATAAGAATTATTCCCCAGATTTTGGTTGAAGGCTATTCATTTTAGGGACCCTCATGAAACAGAGCGAGGACTCCCTCACAACGCACTCGGTGATCAGGGGACGCGCCTTCCTGTCTAACACCCAGCCTGGTCCAGTCCCTTCTGTCGTTCAAGTGGCCTCTGCAGTGTGTCACATACAACATAATGAGGGTCCCCGAGAGTAAGGAACTGCCCAAGTTTTGAGAGAAGGTGGTTTTACAGTAGACAAAAAGAAGCAGAAATTATGCACTAGATTAAAAGTTTTTATCTTAAGTTGGAAGTTAGTGTTTCAATAATTAGCTAATTCTAGTCATTGCATTATCCCAAGCTGACCCTCCCATATACACAAATTATAAAAATATGCATTTTTTATTAACTACATTTCCTTTAAATTCTTTCATTTTAAAGCACAATTTAAATTTATACTTACATTCAAAGTAGGTTTTGATGCGTAACTTCGCTCCACATATCTTATTTCCTGTAATATAAATATTTATGTTATGATATAAAAATATTAATGTATATCATTTTATACTTCTTAGTGATGAAGTTATGGTGATTTCTCAGCTTCTTTATACTTTTATTTCCAGATTTTCTAGTTAACATATCAGTGTTACATTGAGAAAAAATTACTACTTTGTAATATACTCTTTTGATTAACTGTTCATTGGAAATGTACGTTTATCTTAAAATTGCTGATATAGTGTAAGTTAAATATTTAAGGTTTAAATTAAGTAATTTTAAAACACTACGAGAAACTATACTTCCCTGGCCAGTTTGATTCAGTGGATAGAGCGTCAGCCTGCAGACTGAAGGGTCCGAGGTTCGATTCTGGTCAAGGGCACATGCATGGGTTGCAGGCTCGATCCCCAGTAAGGGCATGCAGGAGGCAGCTGATCAAGGATTCTCTCTCATGATGTTTCTATCTCTCTCCCCCCTCACTTCCTCTCTGAAATCAATAAAAATATTTTTAAAAGAAAATATCCTCATTGCTTAAAAAGATATTTAAGTAAAACTTGCTATTTCTCCCCACCCACTACTAACAAATGTTTCTCATTTATGTGAGGCAAACACACCTTACATAAACATGGTCTATATTACCAGATAAATTCTTTTTTAAGAAAGAAAAGAATAATTATCTTGTCTCTACATCTCAGTTTTTCCCACACTGTTTGTTCTTAGGAGCAAATGCCAATAATAACAAATTCTAAAAACGCAGGTCACAGTTCAGAGACCTAATTCATCTGAAATTGGACAATTTACAGGACAAAGAACAAAGAAGATTTTTCTGTCCTCTGAGGTCAGAAAGCATAATAACTATTCAAACATGACAACTTATATTTAGAACATAATCTTGTTGATAGTTATGTCCAAACATATCTCACCGCGTAATAAAACAAGTTTACAGACATCTAAAAACTTTAAACTGACCCAAGAACTTAGCTTTTCAGAGATTAAACAGGCTTTGTCCTGACTCACTGCAAACAATAAACAAAAGCACAGACAAAAAACAAGTATATTTGACAAACAGTGGTCATAAGACGAGACAAACAGCTGACCAGATGGAGGAAAGAATTAGTGACATCGAAGACGGGGATCTATAAATGGCACAGAGGGAAGAAGAGAGAGACCTGAGGGTTAAAAAAAAAAAAAAAAAAAAAAAGGGAAGAGCTCTAAGGGATCTGACTTCACCAGAAAACACAATTTTCGAATAACAGGCATACCAGAAGAGAGGGAGAAGAGAGCCTCTTCAAACACACAGTGGATGAGAATTTCCCAAACCTATGGAAAGAACTAGATCCTCGAATCCAAGAAGCAAACAGAAACCCTAGTTACCTGAATCCAAAGAGGCCCTCGCCAAGGCATGTTGTTTTCTTTTGTGTGTTTTTTAAAATATATTTTTATTGATTTCAGAGAGGGAGGGAGAGACAGAACATCAATGATAAGAGGGAATCATTGATTGGCTGCCTTCTGCACGCCCCACACTGGGATTGAGCCCACAATAAGCATGTGGCCTGACCGGGAATCAAACTATGGCCTTCTGGTTCATAGATCGATACTCAACCACTGAGCCATGCTGGCCGGGCTCTCCAAGGCACACTGTATTTTTAAAAAAATATATTTTATTGATTTTTTACAGAGAGGAAGGGAGAGAGATAGAGAGTTAGAAACATCAATGAGAGAGAGACATCGATCAGCTGCCTCCTGCACACCCCCTAATGGGTATGTGCCTGCAACCAAGGTACATGCCCTTGACTGGAATCAAACCTGGGACCCTTGAGTCTGCAGGCCGACGCGCTATCCACTGAGCCAAATCGATTGGGGCGAAGGCACACTGTATTAAAGCTATCAAAAATTAATGAAAAAGAAAAGGCTCTCAAAGCAGCCAGGGGAAAGAAGGAAGTGACCTACAAAAGGAAAACACATCAGGTTTGATTTGCCCTCTGAGAGCCATGTCATTAGATTAGCAAGGTTTGTGTTTTTACTCTCCTGAGCTTCCCATGTCCACCCAAATGACTGTGTGGGTACTGGCCCAGGCCAGCACACATCTGTACTCAGTAGGCAAGCCCCAAGAGCATCTGCTTAATGCATGTACTCCTCAGTATCAGCTGTGCAATAACAATTGTACCCTTAACGTGTCTTAGTTTGGGCTGCTGCTTACTTAACCTACTTATGAAGGATTCTAACATATTACCTGTGATCCAATTTTGCATTAAACGTTCCTACTTGTAGTAAACGTGCCAGTCATTGCTCTCCAAATCAAAGGGTCTGTAAGGGACAGCCTTAGGCACATACAATGTGACTCCCATATCCTCCCACTAGTCAGAGCAAACAGGACCAAGAATGGAAGGGGCTTTGACCCACGCCATGGTCCCTTTCCTGTCCCTTACATCACACCCCACCTTTACTCCTGGTTCATACCATAAGCAAACAACAGGCTCTGGGTCCTCCCACCTAAAAAACAAATTTCCCTGAAGCCACATTCCCACTGAACTCTCACCTCATTTCTTAGCTCCCTTGTACCATGTACGTTCAACAAGTTACTTCCAAGTTCTTTTTTTTTCCTTGTCCTCACCTCCTGTTTTCTGTTCAACCTCCTCCAGTCTGGCTGTTACCTAGACTATTATTGGCTCTGAGCAAAATCCAATAAACACTATAATCACCTCTTGGCAACACTGGATTCACTTCTCTTCTTTGGGAATCATGCACGGTGTTAGGAGGGAAAAGGGGGGCTTTTTCTTTTCTTTCCTGTAGCCTTCCACAATATGTGAAAAAGCACCTGGTAATTAAACTACAAGATTGCTCACTCCTCTGAATCAAACAGCCCCTCCGAGCAAACTGCAAGACAAGGTAAGCTACTTTCAAGGCTACGTTCTTGCATGCCCCTCCTCCCTTGGGTTTTAATGACTCCACAGAGATTGGGGCCAGAAAGTTTCTAGTTAGAAAGACTCTACTCCCTCCTTCTCAAACCCAAGCTGGTCCCCTTTTGAACTCTTTGTAACTTTCACTCTAAGAATGTTTTACAGGCTCGTGAAGATCCTGCTAAAGACACCTCTCTCGGACATCTGCCTGGACTAAAGAACTTTTCAAAGACAAACCCCAGATACCTGCTCAACTCCAGCCCCCAATCCTCCTCCCTTCCCTGTCACCTGGCAACAGCAGCCATTAAAAGAGCAAGCCACTGTTTATTTCTTGGCCTTTATATTGATTAGTATGCACAGGCGCTTTCCCTTCCGGAAAGTAAAATAAACTCTGTGAACCTATCTCTTCTCTCAGTTGTGAACTCCTTCAGAGCCCAAGTCACAGGCTAAAGCCCTACCAGTAGTTAAGAGCCAGGGCCTACCTTGCTTTTTTCAAATGGGTTGTTTTGAGAATGAAATGAGGTGATATATGTAATCCACTATGCAAACCCCCCTTTTCCTCAGCTTCTTTCTTAACTCAGTCTTGAGTTTCCCTCAGGCCTCACTAATTCCTTGTCTCCTTTGCTGTCTCATCCTCCCTCTCCCAACTTGTGAGTGCTAGAATGTCCCAGGGCTCTGTTCTAGGCCCCTTTTTATTTTACGACTTAACTATCTCCTTAATTATATCTATTCCCATGGCTTTAAACAGCATTAACAGCCTGATGATTTCCAAATTTCTATTTCCAGCCTTCCCTCTCAAGTGACCTCCAGACTCATGTATCCAAGTGCTGACCTGACAGCTTCAATTTTTTTAACGTTTTTTATTTTTGGATGTTGTTGTTTTTTTCTTGGAAGGAGGAAGAGAGAGATAGAAACATTGATCAGCTGCCTCCTGCACACTCCCTACTAGAGATAAGAGCCCACAACCCAGGCTTGTGCTTTGACCCTGAATTGAACCAGAGACCTCTTGGTGCGTGGTGGCTCAACCCACCAGCTGGGCCTCATTCATAGCTTCAATTTAATGACCAAATCATGGCTCAATCTCCATGCCTAGGAAATTAGTTTTTTTCCCAGTATTTCCCACCTCACAATATTGCATCACAATTTATCTAGGTGCTCAAGCCAAAATCTTCGGACTCGCCTTTCATCTTTCCTTAAAACCCAGATACTCTATCACAGGTACTGTCGATACTATGTCCAAAATATACCTCAATTCTTCCACATTGCTTCATCCCACTACCTCCCATCTAGTTCCAGCCACCTCCTCTTGCTACAGTAATAACCTTCTACCTAGTTTCCTACTTTCCAACTTCCCTTCCAGTCCATCCAGTTCTTAAAATGTAAACTGGATGGCATCATTCCCCTAATTAATATCCTTTGATGGCTTTCCATAGGCCTGGGAATAATACCCCAACTCTTCCCCTGAACTTTCAAGACCCGGCATGATCTGGCTCCTGATTTTCTTTCCAAACGCACATCACCCTTGCTGTGTGCCAGGCACACCCGCCTCTGCCCGCTTCTGAGCCATTCTGGCCTCCAGATCTCTGCTCTGTGCCTCTGCGGGTCAGAGCCTTTCCCCAGCGCTTCCCGGCTGCTTCATTTTCATTCTTTAGGTCTCAGCTCAAAAGACACATCCCCAGCACGGCTCTCCCTAGCCGCCCCATTTAAAGTTGGCCTCTCTTATTTCCACGTTTACATTTTTCAAAGCCCCTTTCACACTGTGTAAATATGGGGTTCACATCTTTAGTCTCTCTTTCTCTCTCAACCTAATGCAAGCTTCCTGGGAGCGGGGTTTCTCTCCTTCACTGCTACGGTGCTGGCAGTGCGCACTGGGCCCCCTTAACTCATTAAATAGCTCAGGAATGGAAGACAGAATTATAGCACAGTCATCTCCCAAGGACAGATCAGCTGTACGACCCAGTCTGCAGGCCTCACCTGATCATGCCAGGCAGACAGGAACTCCCATCCCAGCTGCCACAGTGCCCTGTGCACACTAATTTTTCCAGGAATACATAATTTTGTAACCCTCAGGGGCCCCCAGCGGACTGTGAGTTCCAAGAAGAGATTGATTTCATTTTCAGTGATGGCAGGAGATGCTATACAAATATTTGAACAAAGTCTGATGCTTACTAGACACTCAAAATCATTTCAGACAGGGTAAATGCATTACGAAGCCACAAAAGGGGAAAATGAGGGCCTATTTTACCAGGGAGGGTGAATAAAGAGCTCTCTGGAGAGGTCACTGGAGCTGAGAAATGACTGTGAAAGAGCCTTGGGAAGATGGAGGACAGAGCGTTGGAGGCACCGGGGGGAACTAGGACAAAGGACTTGGGTTAGGAGCAAGCTTGGCACCTGCCCAGTGGAGGCAGCAGAGCAGTGTAGCAGGAGCCACCTACTCAGGAACGCACAGCCAGGGCCCAGCACAGGCTGGATCAGTGAGCAGGGACCCTGCAGGCCATGAGGAGGAGTCTGTCTTCTGGACGGTGCAAGGAGAAGCCACTGCAGGCTTTCCTGTTATAAAAGGGTCACTCTGACCACAGTGTGGAGAACTGACTGTAGACGGACAGACGGGAGTAGAAAAAGGAGGTGCCCAGCAAGAGTTTGTGTGGCTAAGTCACAAAAGGGTTGATACAAACAGAGAGATCTGAAATACGTCTTCAGAGCAGTGATTTTCTGCCCAGCTGGTGTGGCTCAGT